TCTCCAATTCATTCTCATCCCATCTCCTCCTCATCCCATCCCATTCCCTTTCCCTTTCTCTCCTTTCTCATCCCCATCCTTTTATCCTATTCTTATCCTCATTCTATCCTCTCCTATCCTCATTCTCTTCTCATCCCATCTCCTCCTCTTCCTCTCCTCTCTTCCTCTCCTCTCTTCCCCCCTTCTCCCCTTCTCCCCTTCTCCCCTTCTCCCCTTCTCCCCTTCCCCCCCTCATTCCCCTCCTCTACCCCTAAATTTTTTCTTTTTTCAGAAATATATATACTCGAATATACTAAGTATAATATATAATACAATTATTGAGTTGATACATATATAAATATACAAATCATTAATTACAAATCACTAATAACTAATAATATTTTATTTATATTTATACTTATTATTTTTCTCCCTCCCTCCCTCTTTCTCTCTCTCTTCTCCTTTTTATTCTCCTTTCTTTTTCTTTCCCTTTCTCCCTTTCCCTTTCCTTTTACTCATATTCTCCTTTCTTTCTTTTTTTTTTCTTTTTTTTCCAAATCTTTTTTTTAAGTCTCTTTCTGTATCTCTCTCCTCTTCCTTTCTTTTCCTTTCCACTTTTCCTTTATTTTCCCTTTCCCTTTCTCTCTAGAACTACTAAAAAGTTTTGGTACCGTATTGTCATTGTTATCATCATCGTCATCTCATCATCTCTTCATATCTTATCTCTTTAGTTCTCATCTCAACTCACCTCATAAAGAACTAGAACCAGAACCAGAACTAGTAGCATGAGATATTTTATGTAGACCTTTTATAAAATTTGATCTTGTCTGTCTTTTGTCTTAACTTTCACCTCCACCTCCACCTCCACCCAGACTACCACTTCTATCTCTATCTCTGACCACCCTCCATCTTCCATTCCCATTCCCATTCCCCATCCCTATCCCATTCCCAATCTCATTCCCTATCCCACCCCAACTAATCCCACCCCGAATCCCACCCCCACTCCCAACCCCACTATTCACCACCTGTTGCGAGATCCATTCCAGAATCGTTTCATAACAAAGAACATACTGCATCAAATTCTGCACCATACTCAATCGTTGACACCTAAAGTCTTCGACCGTTTTTTCCACCAGATCCGTATCCTGATCAAAGATCCAATCCATTTCCGCTTGCCGAGTCTTACCTCCATGAGTCAGGTAATCTCCATCATTTGCCGATTCAAATTCCATGGGAGTGGTTCCGTGTTTTTGTTCTTTGCGTTGACGCTTTAACATATCGATGACGGAGTCGATGGTGCAGAATGTACCTGTGCGGCCACAGCCAGCACTACAATGGACAAGCATGGGTCGAGTAATATCTCCTTCTGGGTTGCCTGATCGAGGCGTTTCGATAGCGGATGAGGATGCGCGTTGCATAGAGTTGGTAAGTTGAATGAGAGCTAGTAAATGACTAGGCTTTGCAGGGGAAGCACAGTCTGGCCAGGAGGAGTAGTGTACTTGTGTGATCTCTCGCACTGGCGTCGAAAGATGAGCGGCGTGGGAAAGTGTAAATTTTCGGACGATGACATGAACATCTTCTACTGTAGAAGAGAGAGGAGTAGTTTGAGTACTGGTGCATGCGCGCTTTCGTCCAGAATCTCGTCGGTCTGTAGAGTTTCGATGTCTATTGGGATCAAGGTGTACCTTTTTTTCTGATATCAACTTCAGTTTGAGGTGGCCATACTCATGGCTAGACCAATAAGAGTGACATTTCAATTGTCCGTCTTCTCTTTCCGCAGTCAACATGACAATAACTCGTACATCTTGGTCCCATATCACACTCCAGAAATCCTATAGCACAATTAATATCAATGAAAAGAAGAGTGTCGAGTAAAAATACGAACTCCAAATGTTTCAGGCAAGGGTCCTTGGGAAGCAATATAACGTTTATTACTCCTTGATGCCTTGACATGACTTGCGTTCACATAGTCACACACATCGTTCGTGAGTTTCACTCTGGCATGCTCGAATGGCCAAATATTGTTGTATCTGTTCTTGCTGCCTTTCTCAAGACCAGCAATCCGGACATCATTAGACTTACAGGAAATTGGCCCATTTCCATAACGAACTTGTTCTTTTAATGCCCTCGTCATCCTTGCCTGCTCTGCTTTCTCAATGTGAAGAAATCTGTCCGAGACAATTTTGCCATGATCTTCTTTCTTCGCAGCCTTTGACAACCATCTGGGAACAATACTCATTGCAGATGAGTCTTGAGCTAAATCCTCAGGAACCTCAATGTCTCTTTGACCAACACCATCAATTAAATCTTGATTTTGTCGAATGTTCGAAAAGAATGGATTCATTGGGTCCTTAGTTATTGGCATGGCACATCCACCAGCTACTTGTATTACCCCAGATAGTGTTGTTCCCAGTGTGAGGTTTATTCGTGATGGCTGTGAGGAATGTGATGAACCCCAGTCAATCGAGTTGGGGAAACTTTGAGCAAAGGTATCAAATCCACCTTTCAATATATATTTTACTCCATTCCAGCCTTCATTGGTAAACTTCTTGAGGGTATAAGTAGCTAGTGCAGCATCTTTCTTGTCAGAAGATCTGTTATCATAAGCAATGATATATTTCGCCTGTTTCCATTTTGAGAATCTAATTTTATCCTGTTCATTTGTGAAAGTATCTTGAAGCTTTTGAAGATTGAATGAGGGCCGTTTTAACAAGGTTGTTGGTATGCACATGTTGAGGGCATTACCAATTCTTGATTGTGAGAAGATGCTGAAAGTTCTGCAGTCGAGGAGCAATACTTCTATTGAAGGTGATCGATCCATCATCTCTTTTAACTGTACTGGCGTGATCATGGCTGGCCCATCTTCTAAATTCAATGGCAGTGTATCCGCTCGCTGATGTTGGCCTCGCTGCTGTAGCCTTGGAGATGGATGATCTGGTTTATGTGGCAGAGAAAGTCTAGGGTGTCGTTCATCTAAATGTGGGAGGTTGTGCCTTTGCATAGGTAGCGTTGAAGAATAAGAACCCGCGGGTGACGTCTGGAGGGGCAAGTCGAAAAATGAAGGGGCATTTATTGAGGCTGTAAATGCGCGCTCCGAGGAAGATTCATATGATGAATCGACTCCACCATTAACATCACCGGCCATTGATGGCACATCCCTATTCCTTGGAATGGATCTGGGGGAAGAGGAATTATCATGTGTATCGAGTCTTGATGCCTTTCTCTCGGGTTTTGAGCGTAGTAGGGTAGGGCCTGGAGACATTGAGAAGTTTGCTAGACCACCATGACTAAGACTGAACTTATTCGTAGATTCTGATTGTTTTTTGAAAGCCTCAAAGTCAGGATTCGAGTTTAAAGGTGAAGGTTCTGGCGTGCCGCCACCAAATGAGAACTGCAAGATCCAAAGTTAGAAATGACTTCACCAAATGGTGTAGCTGGAATACTGGACTCACTATGGAAGATGTGTTAGGACTCCAATGAGATTTAGGCAGGGGGTTAGAGTCTCTAGGGTTGTTTGATGGTTCAACAACAAGACCGAAATAATTTGGACTGGGACTCCGAACTTGTTCGCCTGGAATAGCTGGAGATCGTAGGACGGGTGTAGGTGATAGAGTCTGCCCTACGGATGGAGGTAATCTCCCTGCTGGACTCATTATTGGGGTGGTGGCGATTGAATTTGAAGAAGTTCTATGTGAATGTGATTGTGTATATGATTGTGAATGCGATTGTGAATGTGATTGTGATTGAGAGGACCTTGATGAAGGTCTCGTTACTGTTTTGACCACCATCTGGATTGATGCGCCAAAGCTTCTATCGTTTTCGTTGTGAGATTATGTCCTTCTTTGAGTGAATGAGCCTGTGTGCCGAATAGCCAAATGTATATTATTATTCATCAGTGACTTTGGTGGTGAATGTTGAAGATGGAGGTCAGGAAGAAGATGAGATGATGTTGGAAAGAGAATATAGATAAGAAGAGAATGAAGGGATTACAGATACATCATCATCATCATCATCATATGTCTCATTCAGGAATAAGTATGAAAACTAATTCCAATCATATACTTACCTTTTGTGTCTAGTTAATTATTTAGGTTCAGTTCAGTTTAGTTTTAGTTTAGTTTAAACATTAATTCTATTTATTGTCTAAGTAGGTAATATTAATGATTATTTTTATAATAAGTAAATCATAATTCTATCTATCCATCTCATCTCATCTCATTCCATCTCAATCTCATCGTAAACTTTTATCGGCTTTGCCCCCAGCCCTTTTATTATTTTCCAAACCCTTTCCTTTCCTCTCCTATAAATTCATAAATTCTCCATGATGTAAGCCACTCTCCATCTATCGTAATCTTATATTTTTAATTTTGTAAGACTTATAGCTTTATAATCATAGTATTTATATATATGAGGCTTTCTTTCTTTGTTAACTACGTCATTTAATCATTTGTTAAGCCTAAGGCCTCCCTTTGCAAAGAGAGTACTGGTATAAGTACAAGCAAGTAGGAAAACGATCAAATGGAAGTAAGTAATAATTTCAATCGATATGTATTTAGGTACAATCTTATTATAATAATTTACTAAATGATCTTGCCTCCTCGGATCACTTGACCTTACCTCTTATAAGCTCTCGAATCACTTCTTGCCTTTCTCGTCCTCCACTTGTACTGTAACCTTATGATTTCTATCTTTATCACAATGATTATCAATCACAATCATATAAACATAAATGTGAAACCCCCCCCGGCCCCTCCTCCCCCCCAAATTCCGAAAATACAATCCATCCCAACCCCATCCCAAAGCCTAGAACAAATCTCAACACAATATTTGAAACCCATACTGTACCTACGTACAGAAAACAAGACAATGCGGCTGATATCAATCATTCTATTCATTTTTAGCCTTGACTTTCCTTTCCTATATACAGTATAGTCACTCATCAAACTCTATCTAACCTTTCATATTATAAAACACTATTATGATGCATTGGTCAGTGCACGAAAATGAACATTTCTTTGAAAAAGTCACGTGTTTCCTATGATAACTCTATAGGTCAATCTCCAATATCAGTACACTTCTCAAAACAATCGATAAAACAAAATCTGAAGAGACAATATTTAAGAATACTATTCAATCTATATAAATATCAACTTAATATATTTAATATACCTCCGGAGGACGAGCTGCGACGTAGGAACGGAGGTGCCCTAGAAAAACGACTCGAAGAGCGCAGCGAGGCGAATCGTTTTTCCGGCACCGAGGGGCCGAAGTCAAAGCTCGTTTTATGTATATTCATATATATACCATACAGGAATATCCTTGACTTTTTTTTAGTTCCCGGCATATCATTCTATTATGAAAACCGATCAAAAATCAATCAACCTTTCGACCTTTTGTTCTTTTCTTTCTTTACCTTCTCTTCTCTTTCCTATTTACCTACCTAGTAGTAGTCCCAAAAAAATCAATATTAAATTCAACGGCTATAGCAACAGTAACCGGTACCTCCTACCTCCTCCCTCCATTAGTCACAGCCAACCACCCAACTTCAACTGACCTACAGGAGGACAGGCTAATAATAAAGCCGAACCGAGCCAGAAATCCATTAGCATTGACGTCATTTTGTTCTACTTTTATCGGCTCCAGTTATACTTTATTAATATCGGAACTTTTTCTTTTCTTTTACTCCGATGGAAATATACTCGAGTTACAATATTATAAACAAAATTCATAAATAACTTTTATCTACTTGTCGGTGTACTACTAATATGAAATAATATAATATCTTTTCATTCTAGATCAGATTCGAATAATCATCTACTTGTATTTGTATTTGGTGTTACTGTATATATAAGCAATGAAGATACTACTAGCTACATATCAGTATATACTCGTACTCACTCAACAACTTCGAATTCATCCTCCTCGATTTTAACAGAAGAAGAAACACAATTTCAGTAGTAATGGAATTAGATCTACTCGAGTACATAAGATTATAATCCTCATCTATCATATATCCTCCATCCTCTATATAAACACATCACACATCACACATCACATGATCAACAAACAGATAACCTACCTAGTCCTCCGTCCGTACCGGTACCCTTATCAATTCAAATCCTCATTTACACCATTTTTCACCTGATAGCTTGTTTCATTTCTTTCCTTTCCTTCCCTTCCCCTTCCTTCCCCTTATCTTTCCTTCCCTCCCCTCCCCTCCTCTTATCTTATCTTTCAAATGAAAAGATGCATATCAAATCCTATCAAAAATACCCAGGTAGGGTAACGCGGGGTAACTTCGTGAAAATGTATCTCAAATGCGAAGACGGGGTTTAACACATTTCCTAGTTCATGTCCTCTGTGATCTTTGATGGCTTTGATTATGGTCTTATTGGTCGACGTTATTTCAACGTATAATCGATTGGGTTCATGGATTGGTATGGTATATGTTGCGATAAGGAAGGATGGTTTGTTGGTTTTGGTTTGTTGGTTGAAGGGAACGGAGGGGAGGGGAGGGAGGGAGGTAGGTATTGTTGAAGTTGCTGACCTGACTGTACTGAGTGAGTACTGGTAGATGTGATGTGTAAAGGAAACCTAATATTATCGGAATTAGTTTTCTAGATAAGGGATATGTGATGTGATCTCTAAGGTTACACATTCCCGTTTGCTATTCTATTCTCGTGTGCATTGTACTCGAGTATATAACAAATAGGTAGGTTCCTCATCTTGTTCTGTTCTTGTGGTGTCGGTCTTTTCACTTTCTTCATTCTCCTCATTCTCTTCAATACTATCTATATCTCCCCTTCGTTGCTGTCGTCAACACTTTCACATTATCTTGGCACAGTATATCTCCATTCTCTTGAATTATATCTACATCTCCCCTTCGTTACTGTCGTCAACACTTTCACACCATCTTGGCACAATATATCTTCATCCCCTTCACTCATCAATGCCCTATCTTTATCTCTCATCCCTCATCTCTCATCTCACATCAACATGTCCATCTATAAAACCCACTCCCTCAGTTCAGGAGTCGAAAATGGAGATTCCAAAATCACAACCCACGACCACACAAAATCCATCCAAGACCCCGAATCCAAATCCGGTCCAGCATCAGAATCTGCACATATCTCCAATCATCAAGCCGAACGAGCTCTCTGTCGAAAGTTCGACTGTAGATTATTACCAGTTCTCGCTTGCATGTACCTTTTCAATTCACTAGACAAGGGGAATCTGGGAAATTCGAAAACGGACGGGCTGGAAAGGGATCTGGGTTTTGAAAATAATCAGTATAATCTTATCTTGAGCGTGTTTTATATACCGTATGTTTTGTGTGCTCTTCCTATTGTGAGTTATTTTCTATTGTTGCAAAAATTTAGAATATTTCTTTACCTCGAGGGCTCTTCTAATACTTGGCTTGTTGTCAATTTTTGTTCACTCAACACTTTCGGTATCATTCCAAACGTCCAAGTGGGAGTCGAGCAATTGATAGATGGTTTATGATACTTTCAAATCAATTCGTATCATTCCGAATGTCCAAGTGAGATTCGAGCAATTGATGGATAGTCTATGATGCTTTCAAATCAATCACTATCACTCTCTACCCAAAACCCATACACTGATACCATATAGGCTATGCTTGGAAAGAAGTATGGGCCAGCAACTGTCTTACCCATCCTTATGATGTTTTTCGGATCCTTTACAATTCTCGGAGGTAAATCAGATTCGAGCAGACTTCCATAGTAGCGAACTAATTCCCTCTTCACAGTCGCCGCTCAAAATTTCGGTGGAATGATGGCTCTCAGATGGTTTCTTGGTATGTTCAATCCAGAACTTTCATATAAACCTCGATCAACTAACAAGCACTCGTATAAGGAATGTCTGAATCGGCATTTTTTCCTCTAGTTATTTACTACCTCACTACCTTTTACCGCCGTGGTGAACTCGCTCGTCGTCTCGCCATTTTCTACGCAGCCAGCAACATCGCTTCAGGTAAGATTACTCTACCATTCTCTCTATTCACCTCCAACACAACACAACACTGACCACCGTTCAATAGCATTCTCCGGCCTCCTAGCAGTCGGTTGTTTCAAAATAACCAACACCCCCCTCTACCCCTGGCGCTATCTCTTCCTAATCGAAGGAAGCGCCACCCTCCTCTTCTCCATTTTCACCTACTTCTATCTCCCCTCTTCCGCCTCCACCGCTAAATTCCTCACCTCACAAGAGCGAAACCTAGCACACCACCGCATCCGCGTAGATTCCTCCTCCACCGTCAACGAAAAGTTCCACCTCGCCGATTCCCTCCTCATCTTCGCCCAACCCACCACCTACGCCTTCCTCGCCATCGAAATCTGTCTCGGCGTCCCCCTGCAATCCGTAACTCTCTTCCTCCCCCAAATTGTCGCACGACTAGGTTATTCCCCTATCAAAACCAACTTGTACACCGTAGCCCCCAATATCTCAGGCGCGGTCATGCTGCTGATCTTAGCTTTTGCCTCGGATTACACGAGGCGTCGTGGTCCGTTTATTGCGTTGGGGTTCGCGTTTACTTTTATAGGCTTTATTATCTATGTCTCGATTGATGTCACAGACCAATTGCATGTAGCGTATTTCGCGACGTTCATGATGTGTTGGGGGACGGCGGCCCCGAGTGTATTGTTGAGTACGTGGTATAATAATAATATTCCACATGAGGGACGGAGGGTGGTGATGAGTAGTGTGGGGGTTCCGTTGAGTAATTTGATGGGATTGGTTTCTTCGAATGTTTTTTTGAATAGGGATGCTCCTAAGTACGTTTTTTGTTTCTGTTCCCCTTCTTCTCCACCATCTTCCCCTCCTTCTTTCTCCGTTTCTTCGCCCTTCTTCCTCCTCTCCCCCCACACCCCACCTCACCTCATTTAACCAAACTCCTAATCTAACCCCCCTTCCCCCAAAAAGGTACATTCCCGCCCTGGCAACAACAGCAGCCTTCGGCGCAACAGGCGTAATCCTCTCGACATCTCTAGCTCTCTATATGATGATGGATAATCGACGTCGGGATAGAAAATTAGGGAGGAGATTGGATGCGGCGGAGATCCCGACTGAGTTGTTGAGGGATGGTCCGGGGGTTGCGGAGTTTAGGTGGTTTTTGTGAGGTTGTGGGAAGGGGGAGAGAAGAGGGATGTGGGGGTGAGGAGGGGGGTGGGATGGGGATGGGGAGGGGAGAGGAAGAGGATGGGGAGGGGATGGGAAGTTATTTAATCATAAGAGAGGAGGTCTGTAGTAACTACAACTCTTTGCTGTCACCCAATGACACAATGAAAAGTACAGGATTCCCTCGGCATATGCTCGAAATATTGCTTTGCTTCTCTACCACTTCTACCGTTTCGAAAACACTGCGCATTATTGAAGTAATTCACATCTCACTGAAGTCATAGACGCTTTCCAGCTTATTCAATCTGACCAGAAGGACCTCAAACATCCAGGATGCGGCATTACCACAAAACAGTCGTTTGGTTCACAATCGGCCGGTTAGAAGCACTCGCGACATCAAAGACCAAATGGTTCAAGAAAGTCAAGAGCGACGACGCTGCGACGTGAACGGGTCATCCGCATAAAGCTGTAGGATCAAATTGAGAGGATCTAATAACTCCGTGGCCTGGTAAGCTAAGCATATATGATGGAAACAGTACTATCGGCTGCTACCAATACCTCCTAATCCTGTTTCCCATATCCCATAGCAGCAAACGAACAAGCATATATTCTTGTACTCATACATCGAATCATCAGTCATCAAATCAATAAAGAGCTTCAGAATAGTCATATATTCCATATCTTCGATTTGTGTAGCGTCTCAGCTGTCGAGCTTGTAGCGGGCACGCTCCAGTTGATAGGTGCTCAATAGCTTTTAAAGAGGTTGATTTTCGAATCGTACTGTCAATTGTTTGCGGATTTGGTCGCTGGCTTTAGTTGCAGACTTGCTAGAGTGAGTTTCATGCTAGAGAGAGTCTGATGCTGCTCCCCCGCTCGCTTAAGGTTACCTGACGGATAAAGTGGTATGTATGTATGTATGGTCGTTGAGATCTTAGCTATGCTATTCTATTGATACCAGCAGTACAAAGATAAAGAGCAATGTGAGCGAGCAAAATCAAAATCAAAATCAAAATCAAAATCATGACTGAAAACCCTATACCGTATTCCATCCTCGTTCGTTCAGACTTTCGGTTCGGGAACAATGAAATAAAGGAATACAAAGTACAAAGCTCACTTTATTTTAGCATACGTACGCCACAATACGAGTAGATGGTTAAATCAATTTTCTTATTCGGAAAAATTAGTTACGAGTACACGCACGGAGCCACGTGGGCCTTTCATTATACATACTACTCGTACTTACTTACCGGTTTACAAATTTACGACCAAACATGAGATAGATACTCAGTACATTGGTATGACTTAATTTCTCCAAGCCACCACCTGCAACAGTGCAACGACTTAGTGGTAGTGCGCTCGCTCGCAGCTGTGGCTAGCGAGTTAGTCAGCCAGCCGTCTCGTCTTGTCTTCGGAGTGCTGTTCGGAGTCTTGCCATGCCATGTCGATGGTCTGTCTCGACTCTCAAGAGCAGGAGCAGGAGCAGGAGCCCTAATAAATAAATATGTTCTGTTCTGTTTTGTGCACCAACCATAGCACCACAGCACGACAAACTTGTGTCATTATTCGGATGAAAGTGGGTGGGTAGTTCCTAAATGCTTTGCATGTAAGTCTTACCTATTTCAATTCGCCACTGAGAGAGAGGCCAATACCATGGGATCTCATTCCCTCCACATCCCAACCCTCAATGTCTGCAAAGTCCAAGTCAACATAGAGTTTTAGAAGGAAGGAAGGAAGGAAGCCAGCCAGCCAGCCTTCTTCATCGCCTGCAGCGCAACGGGGATCTTTTCTATGTATGTATGTTAGTTACTGATTCCATTCCATTCCCCAGCTCGATCGATACCCAGCTAGGCGAATAGAATAGAATAGAATAGAATAGCACGGTAGCGAGCATCGTCATTATCGGTCGATCGTATTTCTATTTCGATTTCTCCATCATAAGCCACTCACTCTCACTCTCACTCATAGTCTCGTACACGTCGAAAGAGCCATACCCGGCTCCAGAACTCGGAACATCCATCTCCCTGTACGCTGTAAATACCACCAAGCTGGCAGCGTAGCGTGCACAGTACCCTCGATCGCGTAGACTGTCTACTAAGGTTACACCATCGAAGCTGTGGTTGGGATAGGATATGTAGCTCTTTTGCTTGAATTTGCCTTTCATAAAGCTAATTTGATTTGATCGGCTAGATCCTGTAGGTTGCTGCGCATAACGTGCGTGTGTTGCATGTTCGGTTTGCTAGTCGTTGTCGTTGTCGTTGTGGTTGTTGTCGTTGTTGTTATTCAGCCCCAACGACTTTGCAGCCAGTCAATTTGGCAATCTCCCGCGCCGGTCCACCAACTCTGTAATCAATATCTATCTAGTACACATTGATCTTCCACAAGTCCCATTTTCAACACCAGATAGTGGTGCTCATGTCAGGCCAAGCCTTGCTTAAATAACTCACCTCACCTCTCCTCTCCTTTCGTGAATCCGCCCAAGTGGATGCTCTACTCTACTCTACTCTATCCCCTGGAAACAGATACATACAATACAAATCAGTGATAATCCATCCATCAGCGGAAATAGTCAATGGAGTACAGTACAATAGCATAGTATAGCATAGCATAGCAGCACAGAGAGCAGTATATGTATTCTCTTCTCACGGTCTCACAAGCTATATGCGTAATGTTCCGTGCCAAGATCAAGATCGTACGTACTGTATTAATGTAATGAGGTGTGAGGGTTATTATTAGCATAATTCATAAATTCTTGCGTCGCGCATCACGATCTAGCGGGGTTTTCGTCAGCTGCTAGCTACCTTGTGAGTGTTCCTAATTATGAGTAATACTGGAATGGAAAGAAGTTTCCCTCTACCTCCACAGCAAGCTTGAAGCTTCTGGGTATCCTTACAATATCTTTCTTTGCGCATCATGTTCATGAACGAATTAGAATTATCGACATGACCTGACTAGTTTGGTCGTGTAACCTGTAACCTTAGCGTTTGCCTGAATTGAATGCTGAATCTCGTTCGAGAGAGAGAGAGATCTGGTGCTTCGAGGAGGACATAGGGGGCTGCCACAAATAAGGTTACTATACTATATTATACTATAGTATACTAGCGGATACAGTATGCTGTGATGAGTGGGATAGCGGCATGAAATGCATTATAAGAGATTTGATGTGAATGCTAACACGCAGGTGATAGACAGACAGATTGTATTTATGTAATAGCTAATCAATTGATATAGAGGAAAGAAAATGATATACAGGAAAGAAAAGAAGAGTGAAAGGAGGGTTGAGAAGTACGAGTAGTACAGGGTAATGAGCATGCAATGGGTGGCAGGGGGCGCGTCTAGTAGCTGAAAGGGGGTAACAGCTGCAGTACCTCCTTCACACTCGAAAAATGAAAACGAATGTTATTATGTTATTAGGTAAGATTACCTTACCTTACTTGACTATACATATTAGATACCCGCATACTGTATATTCGATACGATACTTCTTATCTTTACTTTACAAGAGTAAACCGATCACTTATATACGTACAGTAGATCCACAAAAGGTAGAGTAGGTAAGCGAGAAATAGCATCTATCTACGATTCTACTCGAGTTATTGCACAAGTACACTACACTACACTCGTTCGTATACATAGCTAGCTAACTAGCTGATTGATTTCATAATACAACTTGAAGATACAAGATACAAGATACAAGATGCAAGTAGTGATGAGTGCTATATTATACTCAGTACTATACTAAATCGAATAAAAATTAAAAATATTCATTTGCGTGCGCCATTGGCAAAGAGAATGTGTGGGAATTTCTCTCTCTCTCTC